CTCCTATGAAACTGAACTTCGGTTTGGATAGATCCTTCCCCCTGGCCTGGGTGGGATATTGTGCTATGGTATCTGATGAAAACCTGCCAAGTAGGATCTTTAGATCCAGGCACTTTAGCTCTGTCTTGAACAGAAGCTCAGTGTGCAGACACAAAGTACTGATAATATCCTTCTGTGTCTGTGTGCTGTGTCTTCAAGTCGTTTCCAACTTATGGTGACCTTATCATGGTTTGGTTTTGGGGGTGTTGCAAGATTTATTCAGAGGAGGTCTGCCATGGCCATCCTCTGAGGCTGAGAGAGTGTTACTTGTCTGAGGTCAGCCAGTGGGTTTACATGGCCAAGCTGGGATTCAAACCCTATTCTCCAGAGTCGTAGTCCAACACTCAAACCATGACGCCATGCTGGCGTAGGACGTTTTCACACAGGGCTTAAGGCAGACGCTATCCCACCTCCATCCGGCCCCAGTCCGGCTCCTTTGCAAAAGTTTTCACATGACGTCGCAGCAAGCCCCACCCCATCCAGTGCCATCCCCGGCGCTAGCCTGCGTCAGTCCGGGTCCTTGCTCCGTGTGTTCACACGACGTCACAGCAAGCCCCGCCCCGCCCTGCCCCATCCAGTGCCAACTCTGGCATCAGCCCCGGTCTTTGCAATTCCTTTTTCAAAAAGGAATTGAGTTGCCGCTGCCAGAGCCATTCCAGAGTAACGCTGCTTTCACAGGTTTCAAAGCCGCCTGGAAGCAATCAAGAGCTTCCAGGTGGCTTTGAGACCCACAGTGTGAAAACGTCCTTAGTGTTATATCCTTCTCCATTCCATCAAAAGCTTCACTTGTGGGCTACTGCACATCACATTTCTATTAAATGCAGAAGAGCAAGACAGACCATTTAATCTGGTCAACTGGCAATCCTATATGTCAGGAATAATAATAACATACCCTTTGAAAATGCCTTCGGGGACCCTATGGATTGCAACGATTAGAAATTAATAAGAATTCTGAGAGTTTGTTAAATATATTGGCCAGAATCAGACATTTTTGTCTGATGTGGAATATCTGCATTCAGTTCAGGGTTGCAGAAACAAAGTTGCATATGTGGCACCATTGCACATCAATGTGCATGCGCATTGGGTTCTACATTCATTTGCACACTTGATGACTTGGTTCAGTTGCACCATGCTACCTTTCATCACAAGTGTTGTGTAAAACATAACCTGGTCATTGGCTAAATTTTGTGCTCCACAACTGAGGTCTTGTCTGCACTGAAGAAATAATGCAGTTTGACACCACTTTAACTGTCATGGCTCTGTCCTATGGAATCCTGGGATTTGTAGTTTGTTGTGTGGCACCAGAGCTCTGTGACAGAAAAGGCTAAATATCTCACAAAACTAAAAAACCCAGAATTCCATAGAACTGAGCCAGTGTCAAACTGCTTTAATGTTATAAAACACACACATACACATTTCTCATTGTAAAGATATTTCCCAAGTAACAAGTTGTGATGTTAGGGACTTTGAGGGAAAATGTTATTGTGTTTATCAGAGAAGTAAGGTAAAGTATGGTTATATATGTGATGTATAATAAATTTAGGGCCCCATCGCACCAATTTCTTCTGGCAGGCTTATCCAGATAATTTTTAAATTGTGGATTTTAAATTAGAATTGTTTTAATACGTTCCTATTTTATTTGTCCTTTTAAATTGACGTGTATTTAAACTAATGTGTTTTAATTGATGTTGTATGTTTGTTAATTGTTGCTGTTCCTTGCTTCGATCCATGGGGAAAGGCAGATAAGAAATTATTATTATTATTATTATTATTATTATTAT